GAAAGATCACTGGTATCGTTTAGGGGCCGAGGCTCTTCACCGGGGTAATGCTGGTATAGTGGAATATGCATATCAGAGGACCAAAAATTTTGAGAGACTGTCTTTCCTTTATCTCATCACTGGTAACATGGAGAAACTTTCGAAGATGATGGAAATTGCGGAAGTAAAGAATGATGTGATGGGCCAGTTTCACGTTGCCTTGACATGGGTGATGTTCGAGAACGGGTTAAAATCTTGGAGAATGTGGGTCACTTGCCTGTTGCTTACATTACGGCATCAGTCCATGGGCTACTAGATGTTGCTGAACGGCTTGCAGCTGAACTTGGGGACAATATTCCGTCTTTGCCTGAGGGACACCCACCATCTCTTCTATTGCCACCTGCACCGGTTATGTGTGGGGGTGATTGGCCCCTCCTTAGGGTCATGGGAGGCATATTTGACGGTAGAGATGTCAAATCCACCATTCACAATCCACCATTCACAGTTAATTTAGTCTAACTCACTAAAAACTCCAACGTTTGTAAAGTTTACAGGACAGGAGAAGGTTAACTATTTTTAAATAAAATATTATAATATATTAAAATATTTATTTTATATAATATTTTTTATTATATATTTATAAAAAATAAAATTACTTAAAACATAGATTAAAAAAATTAAATTTATATAATATTAAATATTTAAAATGAATTATTGTTATTAAATAAAATATAATAATTTATTATCAAATTAAGTTACATATTTATTTAATTTTTATTTTGTTAATCATAATTATTAAATCGTAGTAATATTTTTTATTTATATAATTTTATAAATAATTTTATAGTACATCATTTTATAATTTTATTTGAATATTAATTATAAAAATTTTATATTTTAATATTATTATTATTTATTTATTTTTATAAAAATATTTTAGGTACATCACATGTGAAATAAATATTTTTATAGTTACAGTAGAAATAAAAATTGATAATGAAAAGTATTATTGGCTAATCAAATTTATTAAGTCATTTGTTATTATTAAAATGTTTGAAATGATTTATGTAAATAAAATTTTATATCTTAAAAAAAATTAAATATAAAATTGTTATCGTAAAAATTATTGTCATATAATACTTAAAAAATTCATTAATTTAGAAATAACGTGCCAACTTGTTGATGGCAGATGATGAAGACGAAATAACGTGCCAACTTAGCAAAAACTAATCAATGTTTGCAAATATAATTAAGGCCCGTATTACTATTGATTGAAAAACTAAGAAAAATGTACTGCAAATGTTGAATTGATAAAATGTGAGTGAATTTTTTAAGAGAAAAAGAGATGGACACTTAATCTTTTGGAATTAACCATATTTTATATATATTATATATTTTTATCATCAAGAAAGTCACCTATTATTCATATAAATAGATACATTCATTTACTAAATAAGATAAGATATCAATTTGACAATTGAAATCATATGTATTTTTAAAATTAAATATAAATTTGGAAAAGTGATTTGAGTATGGTATATTAAGAGAAAAAGTTCAGAAATATGGTCTTTTTAGCATTATTATCAGAATATGGAAAAAAATATAAATGACAATTTTATTATGAACAGTATTATAACAGAATGTATACTGTAATTTCTGGTCTCCACAAAAATGCCAATGGCAATTTTAATCTGAACAAAATAATAATAGAGATGTAAACTGCAGTTTTCAGTTTTTGTAAAACCGTAAATGGCAATTTTTACCATGATCAAGGGCTAAAGTTGCCGAGGGCCTTTTTATGCAACAGCAAACACTGCAATGCACAGGAACATGGCAAGACTGAGCTTTGAACATTGTGAAATCGCCATTGACAAGTTTTGACTTCATTCATCACGCGTTACGGATAACGGTAGCAATGAAGACCATTAAAATCGTTATTAGCGATTTATTCTCTTTATATATGCCTGAACTAATGCTTCATGCGCGAGAGGGGTATTGTGAATTGGAAAAGAAGAATTTTTTTGCTAAAGAAGAAGAAGAAGAAGGTCTGGTGAAGAAGAAGAAGGGTGTGAGAGAGATAGTAGGAAATTTGAAAAAAAAAAAAGAATTTGAAAAAAAAATGATGAAAGATACAACCGTTGATTTTTCTGTAAAATTAATTAGGTTAACTTAGTAATAATTATTTAATGTATTATGTTAATTTTAAGAATTTTTATATATTATATTATAAGGTAATTTTTCTGTAAAATTAGTTAGATTAATTTAATAATAAATTAGTTAAGTTTTATATAGAATGAGTTAGGGTAATTTATAATTAGTAATTAATTATTTGCATGCATAAAATATTTTAATAAAATTTGAAATTTAATTTAAAATAATTAATAATAAGTAATTACTATATTTCTCAATAATTATTTGTTGTATTTTAAATAATTATAATTTAAATAGTAATTATTTTGAATTTTTTTCAAATTTATTAAATATGTTTCAGTTTTATATAGAATGAGTTAGAATAATTTATAATAAATAAATTAAATATTAATTAATAATTTGCATGCATAAAATATTTTAATAAAATCTGAGAGATAATTTAAAATAATTAATAACAAGTAATTACTATGTCTTCTAATAATTATTTATTGTATTTAAATAATTATAATTTAAATATTAATTATTTTAAATTTGTTTCAAATTTATTAAATATTTTTAAATTTTCTCTGGAATGAGTTAGAGCAATTTATAATAAATAAATTACTTAGCAAAAAGTATTTACATGCATAAAATATTTTAGTAAAATCTTAGAGTTAATTTAAAATAATTAATAACAAGTAATTACTACATTTTTTAATAATTATTTATTGCATTTTAAATAATTATAATTTAAATAAAAATTATTATAAATTTGTTTCAAATTTATTAAATATGTTTAAATTTTCTATAGAATGAGTTTGGGAAATTTATAATAAATAAATTAATTAGTCAAAAATTATTTGCATGCATAAAATATTTTAATAAAATCTTAGAGTTAATTTAAAATAATTAATAACAAGTAATTACTATATTTCCTAATAATTATTTATTGCATTTTAAATAATTATAATTTATAAATATTTTTAGGAGTTATTTAATATAGATAATGTATTTCAATAATATTTTTTATTTTATTTATAACAAATAATAAGATTGTTATGCTCTTGTCACTTGTTTATAATGCCTCTAAGGATAGAAATTATGAAAATTTTACAGCATACTGGCTTTAATCAAATTTCTCAACTTTGTCAAATGCAAATAAACGGTTCACTTGTAAATGCACTTGTGGAACGTTGGAGGCCTGAAACACATACATTTCACCTAGTTGTTGGAGAATGCACAATTACATTACAAGATATTTATATGTTACTTGGACTTAAGATCAACGGTGCAACAATGATTGGTTCTACAAATCCTTTTACTGTTATAGTACAAGATATGTGTGAAAATTTAATAGGAGGTCGACCTGATTCAAACAACATTGACGGATCAGAAATTAGATTAAAGTGGCTACCACAACACTTTGGTTGGCTTCCTTTGAATTTTGACATTAGGTTATAACAACAAGTTCGTGGGTATATTCTTTCCTTGTTGGGACATATTTTGATGCTAAATAAAAGTAATTTCGTGGTTTGGCAAATACAGTTGGGGATTAGCATGTTTGGCTTCTCTTTATAGAGGATTGGATCGTGCTTCTAGACATGATGCTAAAGAAATTTGTGGCTTCTTGATACTTTTGCAAGTGTGGGCATGCCATCGCCTCCCATGGCTGGCTCCAATTCCAGGACAACCAATAATATTTTTACTTGTTCTTAGATAGAGACACTTTAGATATCAAGCAAATACTCTGTTTAAGAGTCTTCAGAATATTAGATTAGCATTGGATCAAATGGAGGTTAATAAGGTAAAGAGTTTTACTAAATCTTATTATTACGTTACATCATGATATCTATACAAACCTTTCTTAATAGGAATTAACACTACTGAATTTTGTATATTGCAGTTTTTGTGGACACCATATGTGGATGATAAAATTTATGCAATAACTCCAGATGAAGTGAGCATGAACAACAAGTGTGGTCAACTGTTAGTCCTCTTATATATTTTGAAGTTATAGAGTGACATGTAACCGACTGTGTGATGCGTCAATTTGGATATGCTCAGGCTATTCCTCTTCAACCCCAACAACTTGAAGGAGTCTATAACAGAGACCCATGTGAAGCAAAAGAACCAAAGGATTAGACAGTCATACATCATGAGTGGGTGACAATGTGAGAGCATGACATGAACGTATTTTAGAAGGAGTCAAGCCTCATAATTTCTATTCTTCTAATGAATATTGGGCATGGTACACATTGTATGCAATGGATTAGCTATGGTTATCCCCACAGATGCAAGACCTAGCACCTCAACAACAATTGTTGACTATGGAGCCATTATTTTCTGAGCATGATGACATTTCTATGGATGCATCACCTGTCCATCCACAAGATATTCCATCAGCTTCTGTACAACCAAATCAAGAGTATTATTGGTCACCTGAAAGGAATGAGTGACAACCTTTTTAATGGGATAAACAATCACCACAACCACAACAAGAACGTATGTTTACAGGTAGGGTAGATGTTGGATGTGGTGGAACAAGTAGGCAGGCAAGAGGTCGAAGGTCAGTTGATTGCAGTAGTACCAGTGGATTTTCTCATGGATTTATTTTAACATATGATTTTGTGATAGATTCAGTTTCACCTTCCCAAAGCAATCTGGCTCCAAACTTTGAGGTTAATTACCCATACGAACAACAAGTTTATGCAAGTTAGGAGCCTTGAATCTTAGCAAGAAATTTGCAGCAATGTGCTTAATACAATACATGTGGAATGCTCTTGGAGGTTCTCACTGGCCATTGCTTCTTCTTATTGCTGCTATAATTGACTCATGACAATCAGAAATTATGTCAACACCATCGTTGGTAACAATATATTTTCATAAATTTTCTAGGAAAAAACTCCAACCATCTGTTGTCTCACTCTCAACAATAGCAAATGCAATTGCAATATATTCTGATTTTCATCTTGTGCAACAACCACTAATAAAACTCCCTTGTATTTTCCATATAAATGAGTCCCATCAACCTGCACAAGTGGCTTGCAATCTTGAAATGCTCTAATGCAATGACCAAAACTCCAAAACACTTGTCGTAGTATTTGAACATTGGAAACCATTTCACCATTGCGATAATCCTCTGTAGCATCTAATTTCACAATAGATCCTCGAACAGCATCACACATTGCTATGCACCATTGCGGCAAAGCTTCAAATGAGGCTTCCCACTGACCAAATACTTTTTCAATTGCCTTTTGTTTGGCCAACCAAGTTTTTCGATAACTTATCATGTATCCAAATCGAGACTGGATTTCCCCAATTACTACTTTGATTTTAAAAGAAGGATCAAATTTTACCATTAGCTTTATACATTCTGCAATTGTGTCTGTATCTAACTTTCTGTGATCTTGAGAAATGATTCCAACAGTACAAGTGTGTGGACCATTATATTTTTGGATTTTCCAAAAATACCCATTCTTCCTGAAACTAGCTCAAAAAAGCCAACTGCAATCTAAGCCATATCTTACACATTTGCAATAAAAAGTATTTGGTTCTGACTCTAACACTTTGTAGTCCACTCCTTTTGATATACTGTAATGCTTTACTGTTTTTATAACAACTTCTTTGTCATTGAATTGTCTTCCAACATACAGTTCATCATCTATCTCTGTGTTACCTACTAATAGCGAACATAAATTAATTAACAAAACTAAAATTAATCTCACCAATATAATTACAAAATTCACATACCTAAGTTTGCATATTCTGGAAACTCAGAAGCATTCATAGCATCAAGATCTAATTCACGCATGAAGGGTGGCTCGCCAAAAGGATGTTGCCCACCCATATGGGGCTCCTGTTCATCAGCATCATCATCAAGATCCTCATCGCTTTCCTCATCTCCTTCAAAGTCATAGTCATCACTTTCACTATTGTTCTCTAGTAGCATGACAAATTCTTCTTGAACCTCATTACTTTTGAAAATAACATACAACTCAATCGTACCACTTGAATGATGACTTTGTTGGTGTATCTGAAACATTTGTTGAACGTCATCATCGTTGGTTATTGGAATCGAATGATATTGCATAAAACTGCCAAATATCAACACTGGACATCAATACATAACACTTTCCACTATTTTTGGAAACGAAACTTCATGAACATATTGACAAAGCCAACACTTTAAATCTTCAAATGCTACATTATATAGAATATACACACATGTTGGTTTTTCGCATGCAAATGACTTACCTTTACTCGTATTTGGTATAATCTCACCGTTAAAATAAATTATAACAAACACACTCATTTTTTCTTTTCATAAACACATAAGCTTCACACACACTCTCTAAGAACTTCAAATGGTTGTAGGGACGAATTGCAATGAATGAAAATTCTAGTATTTATAGCCTCAGCAAATCAAAATCGCCAATGACATTTTATAACATTTTTTTGAAAATTTACATTGGTCAAAGGTCGTCATTTGCGAGTTTAAAAAAGTGAATACTTTTCCAACAATATAAATCGCCACTGGTGATTTTTACCAGTCATATTTACTTTTATAATAAAGTAAACTCGCCAATGGCGACTTTACTTTATCAAATTTTGTCTTTTTGTGCTGTAAAATTGCCATTGATATTTTTATATACACCATATTTATGTAATTTTGTAAAAAATAGCATATTTTTGTAATTTTATTTTAGAAAAACCATAATGAAAAAAATGACCCTATAAATTCACCATACAAAAAAATAATAGTATGAACGATACATTTTTTTGTCGGGTGTAAGCAGGTGCAAGTCTTCTAGCAAATCAAATCAATTCATTCATACTAATAATAAAATAATGGATTAATCAATCCAGTCATTTGTTATTATTAAAATGTTTAAAATGATTCATGTAAATAAAATTTTATGTTTTAAAAAAAACTTAATGTAAAATTATTATAAAAAATTATAAACATATGATACTTTATACTTACAAAATTCATGAATTTAGAAATAATTTGTGAACTTAGTAAAAACTAATCAATGTTTACAAATTTAAATAAGACCCGTATTATTATTGATTGAAAAACTAAGTAAAAATGTATTGCAGAATGTTGAATTTATAAAATGTGAATGATAATGTTATCTGGTCTAGGGACATAGAAATTGGAAAGTGTCGCTTTACTCAACAAACATGCCATTGTTCTTGCTAACAAGAAGCCGGTACACTAGTGTACCATACATGAGACTATTCGTGTGAAAATACTGAAGTAAAGAATGATGGGATGGGCCAGTTTCACAGTATCCATCACATCATTAATAGAAGCACATGATTGAAGTCAAAATGCCATATAATATAGTAGTATTGTAACACTCATATTTTTTTTATTTATTAATTTTGTATTTTGTGATGATTGTTAATGTATGTTGTTTGAAATTAAGAGAATTTTAGGTGTGTGAATTGCAGGATCTCTCGCTGTAGTGAGATGTGTCTAGCTGTAGCCAGAGAAGTCATCCATAATCAGACTCTCTGAAGCTATAACGATGATTCTCTCGTTGTAGCGATAAGCTCTCGTTGTAGCGATGATTCTCTTGTTTTTCACCTGTAAATAGGATTTCTTGTGATATTTAAGAAAAACCCAGGCTTTTGAACAAGATCCCTCTTAAACCTTTTACTTATTTTTCACCTTTAAATAGGTTTTTTTGTGATTATATTTTCTTGTGCTTTTCATCTCTAACCATTGCAGCATGCAAGATTGCATGTTTTCAAGTAGAAATTGGAAGATTTGATCTACTTAGTAATCATCTTGCAATTAAATTTAAATGCTTGATTAATGATTCAGCAAGTCCATTTTGAGTATGCACATGTGCTACAGGATACTCAATATCAATTCCAATAGACATACAATATTCATTAAAAGCTCAAGATGTAAATTCACCAGCATTATCAATGCATTTTTTTTTCTTAATTGGATAATCAGGAAAATGAGCTTCTAAAGAAATTATGTATGCATGTTATATTGCAAACGCCAGGTTGCAAGTTAACAACAAATAAACACGTGACCATATATTTGACACATCAATTAAAATCATAAAATATCTAAATAGTCCACATGATGGGTGTATTGGTTCACAAGTATCACTTTGTATACGTTCTAAAAATATGATAGATTTATTTTCAATTTTAGCTGGTGATGGTTGACTAATTAATTTTCCTTGGGAACAAGGAACACATGAGAAATTATTAGATTGAAGAATGTGTTTGCTCTTAAATAAATGTCCACATGAATTTTCAATTATTTTTTGTATCATGATTGATTCAGGATAGCCTAACCGTTCATGCCAAATAAATAAATTATCATCATTTATAAACTTCTGGTTTGCAATAACGTGTGCTTCAATTATATTTACATATGTGTAATATAAATCAAAAGAAAAAGAAGATAATTTTTCTAACACACATTTTTTATTTGATATAATTTTTGTTATATACATTATTCTTCTTTTCCTTTATTTGTTGTTTCAATATGGTTTTCATTTTTGTGGATATCTTTGAAACTTAATAAGTTTTTATGAGACTTAGTGGAGTATAATGCATGATCTCTCGCTGTAGTGAGATGTGTTTAGCTGTAGCGAGAGAAGTTGTTCATAATCAGACTCTTTGAAGCCCACTCACTGTAGCGATGATTCTCTCGTTTTAGCTACGATGAAAATCAGAAAAGGAAAAATATGTCTACTTTTTCCTCTGCAGCAAGAAAAGAGCTAGTTGTATCGAGAAGCTCTCGCTGTAGCGAGAAACAGCTCGTTGTAGCAAGAATGTCGCGAGCTGAGGGTTTAGGGTTTACGATTTATTTAAAGATTTTCAAGTTGAGAAACTTGGATTATAATCCAAGTTACTATCCCTCTTCATTTCCTCTAACCTCTCTCCTCCTTTTATTCAAAAAATCCTTAAAAATCCCCAATCTTTCTCCGATCCAAGCTTGGAAATTCACTTTTCTTACTCTATGGTAAGTTCTTAAAGCTTGGTTCTCTAATCCCTTGGTTATTTTCTTGTTTTTCGCCTCTAAATAGGATTTCTTGTGATATTTAGGAAGAACCTAGGCTTTTAAACAAGATCCCTTTACTAAACTTCGCTTTCAAGGTAGGGGAGGTCTATCTTATTACTAAAAACTTGTTATATTTGTATTCATGAAAGGGTTTGTAGTGTGATGCATGATTGTGAAGATATGTTGGATTGAAACATGTTTTCATGTGTTTGATAATGTGAATGATATCTATTGAGCATATTTATTTGCATGTATGTGTTGGATTCAATTTTGGGGTGACCAACCTTCGACAATGTTTGATTGGTATGTGATATAGATAATGAACTTGAATAAAAGAAAGAGAGGAAAGGGTGAACAAAATATTAAGATAGAAATGTCAAGTTAGGTTTTGATGAGAAATATGAAAAAAGAAATGAATTGAGAAGGAAAAAATGGAACGGGAAAGGAAATGATAAGAACAAGTGTGGATAGTTCAAAGATACACTAAGAGTGTAAAAGATAGAGGCGATATGAGAAATTTTAGAGAAATGAAGGTGGTAGTTTCTCTTCTTGATTTGCGCATAACAACTAAGAGTAAGAGCACTGATCAATTGGATTTTTATAACTTTATTTTCTCTCATTCCTAGCTCATTAATCCTCTTTTGTGCCTAATTAGTTTGAATTTGATCATTTATGATATTTGAATTTTATTTGGGCTTTATTTAATTTTTTCAGCATTAGGCAAATTCTGATACTGTTTTGGTCTCTGGGCCATATCTTGAGTTGTAGAACTCATTTCATTATGATTATTAGTTTGTAGGAAAACTGAGAGAAAGGCGCACAATTCCTATGTAGAGGTCAGAAACCAATTCTGATGATAAGAAGCTGAATCTGGGTCTGGAAAAATCCAGAATGCTGCACTAGTAGTTTCTGACATTGGTGCAGTATTTGGGCCATATCTCATTCTATAGATGTCTGTTTAAGCCAATTCCAGTTGCGTTTTGAAGCTAACATCCAAGGCTACAATTTATCTTCATTTTAGAAATCGAAATGGAAAGATCTTCATTGCCAAAAATACCACGTAATATCTTCTCAAATTCATCAAGATACTGAGCAGAATTTCAAGCACAACTTTCCCTCCAGAATTCGAATTTGAACAAATAAGGAGTCTAGAGACAACTATTAAGAAGAAGATTAATGTAATTGAATAATTATTAATTAGGTTTTACGTTTTGACCCTTGAGAGCCTGTATTTAAATGAGGACAACAATTTTGAATGACGGCAAGTAAGTTTTGAGTTTTTCAGTTTTTAGGTTAGATTAGGTTTATGTTTTAGGATTTTTGTTTTCTTCTTCTTTTCTTTTGTTTACCTTTTGTTTTCCTCCATTAATGGAGGCTTAGACTTTCATCTAGTCCAAGGATTGAAAAAGGGCTAAGACACTCTTGAGGATCGGCTTCGCAATTTATTCAACAACAAATTCGGTTTCATCTCTTCCTTCTTTCTCCTTTTGCTAATTATGATTTCAAATTGAAGTTCTTCGTTTGGATTGATAATTGTGTAGTTGTTTGATTACATATTATTCGGTTAATATCTGTAATTAATGACATTGGTGAATTAAATTAACACAAATCGATTAGGTTCTAGAGGTTTCTGAACTTTGAGCGAATTGTGTGTTAATCGAATGCATGAGGGTTCTCGTGTGAATGCTTAATTTGAATTGAGGTTTCATTTGAATTTAATGCTAATCACTAATTTGTTGGTTGATGCATCTTTATGGAATCCGGTGATAGAGTGGTCATAGTTCTTCTAAATTCTTGGATTAGAGTTTTAAATTCTTGTTAACTTTTCATTCTAATTAGTGCTATTTCATAAATCAAACCCCCTCTAAATTCATAATCATATAACATTATCATCATTGGGAGACGACTCGGAT